AAAATGGCCACCATGGACTCTCAGTACTCACCAGCACTCTCGCTTTCACAGTCACCTGATTATTAATCACACACACCTGAACTCAATCACCACACACTATATAAACACACACACACACACACAACTCCACACCAGTGTGAAGTAATGCTCAGTGCATTATTGCCTGGCTTACCAAGCCTTTGTTTTATCAGACATGCTCTTCTAGTTTATGACTGTTTGTTCCTGGTTTTCACAAGTTTGAAATTGCCCTGTTCATGTTGTTTGCTGATCACCTGAACCCCTGCCTGTTTCTAACCCTGCTTTTGCTTAACATTTTGGATTGTTTGCTGAACTTTAATAAATTTTACCTGCACCTGTAACCATCTCTGCCACCTGATATCTGCACAATAAAGTTTTTAGTTTCTAATCTAATCTAATCTAATCTAATCTAATCTAATCTAATCTAATCTAATCTTGTCTGTACTGAGGAAACAGTGACAATGACAGAAGATAATTACATTGTCTGTTATAGGCTTCACTAAAACATACAACAATCCACTAATGGGGTTATTGCTATTTGGGCATCATATTTTGTGCATAGAGTGTACAGCATCTGCATCGGTATTGCAGGCCTGACAGAGACTCGCCAAAAACCCACTGTCTATTTGATGTCTATCATCTGTGGCAAACCAAGTACTAAACATGACAATTTCCAATAAAATTATATTAATTTGAACAATTTGCAAAATTGGAAGTGCTGTGATTGCAATTGGGATTAACAGATAGAAATTTACTGAAAATAAAATAGACTTACTTAAAAATTCAAATTGATTTACTTCAAACTCATAGTCATGACCTTATTTTAAAGCCATCTTTTTGCAGTGTGGAATTAAAAGAGGAAAACTTGTCACTACGCTGTTGCTCCAGGACCTACAATCTATAGTTAAGGCCAGATGTTTTACATACATGTAGACTAAAAACTTTAAAACTCAATTTTTCACAACACCACACATTTTACGTTACCATACATTTCCCATGTTAAGTCAATTAGGGTATCTAATTTATTTCCATAAGAACTCATTTCAAAGGAATAACTAAGAGACAGATTTATTTCAGCTTTTATTTACTGTCCGATATCAGATTGTCAGTGGGTCAAATGTTAGATACACTTTGTTAGGATTTTCTTGGCATTGCTTGAACTTGATGTAGCTTTCCACACGCTTCTCATAATATTTTGCTGGAATTTTTGCTCATTTCTCCTGACAGAATTGGTGTAAATGATCCAGGTTTGTGGGCCTCCTCAATGCCACCTCAATCCATTTTCTGAAGTGCACCTGTTCCTTTTCCAGCTAAACAACCCCACAATATGATGCTGCCACCCCCATGGTGTTCTTCAGCCCTATGTATAGAGGAAAATGTGTTCATGTGAGCTGATCATTACGGCCAAACATTTTTGTTTCATCTGACTGGAGAAAAAAAAAAAAAGAAGCAGGGGATCACCTGCAAATTCCAGTCTGGCTTTTTTTTTATGCCAGTCTTGAAGTAGGGGCTTCTTCCTTGGACGACAGGATTTCAGGCCTTGGTGACATAGGACTTAATATTGGATGTACATACCTTGGTACCTCATGCCTTTAGCTCCTTTACCAGTTACTTTGTTCAGCTGAACTTTTTGGACCAAAGTTTTTTTTTTTTTACATTTGCATACATTTGGAGGTCCACAGTTTTTATTTTGAGGTCTTGGCTGAGTTGCTTGGATTTTCACATGGTATCAAGAGCAAAATGGCACTGGTATCTAAAGATATACCCTTTTACAGCTACAAGTTCACTCACATTAACTCCTAATTATGACAGTTGGCCAATCAGAAGCTTCTAAAAGTCATTACATCAATTTTGCAGACTGTTTAAATAGACAGTCAACTTGGTGTATGTAAACAGACCCACTGGAATTCTGATATAGTGAATTAAAGCTGAAAGAAAATCTGTCTCTAACTGATCCCTGTACATACATTTCTTATGTCTTATTTCTTCTTATTTCTTTTTTCTTTTTTATTAATTTCTGTTTTTTTTTTAGCTTAGTTATTCAAATACACAGTTGAAAAAGGAGTAGCCCAGCTATTCATTTCACTGCAATGTCTGTACTGTATATCACTATGTATGTGACAAATAAAATCTTGAATCTTGATTGTTTTACAATTTCCACTGATGAGAAAAAGTAAATGCCCTAACTGACTTGCCAGATGAATTGCATGGAAATGTGTTGAGTTGTGAACAAATAAGATTGAATATTTTTTGCCTAGGAGTATGTAAACTGTAAATATTGCTCTACTGTTCTACTGCTAGCTTAAAAGAACTCATAAATAATAGCAATAATTTTAAAATCACATCATCATTGTCAAAAAACAAAATATTGAGTGAAACACATTTTTTGAACTGCACAACAGGGCATCATAATTGACATCTGTTTGCATTATCCACCACATACTTGGTGCTAGCTCAGGTGTGCCTTTGTTACTTGTAGTTAGCTCACCTGACTGGTTTTATGACATTATAAATATTAGCCATCAAGGCTGACAATTTTCTATTCTCACAGGTCAGTGAGATCATAATTTTCACAATCATAATTTCAATATAAAATGCTCATGATGGTTAAGACTGGACTAAGACTGAATTTGTTTAACTAGAACCAATCCTTCCTAAGTTTGTTGGCTAATGAATATAGTGTAACTTTTTAATTTTTTTTTCTGTTTTTTTGTTTAGAAAAATCAGACTTCTGATCAACATGGTGTTTGTCTCTGATGCAATATTTGTCTGCAGCTCCATCTTCACAGGTATATGCTGAATCTTTTAACAATTTCATTCTTTTTGAAAGAGCTATGCCTTTAAAACAATTGTTAATATAGGTCTGAATTGAAGTTTCTAGTGAAAAGTATAAGCATGTTTGAAATAACATTTGTGATGAGATCAATGAGTCTCAATAATCATAACAAACTTATGTCATTTCTTTATCACTCATTATAACAAATTTTACACAGAACTGTTTTTTTTATTCAGGATATACTCAGTTATTTCATACAATGACAGATCTAAAAATGACTTCTCTTTGTAAAATGTTATCCTAGGTTTTAAAACAAAAGAAATTAAAATGGTTCTTGGTAGTGAACAAAGGCTTTTGGATATAGTGTAAATGCAAAAAAAAGAAAACTTTAAAAAGATGATTCATGAAGCAGAAAAGCAAACCCATGTCTATTTTCTGTTCCCCATTGAGTAAGGTCAATTCCATTAAGCAAGGTGAAACAAACTCATATCAAAACACTTTATCGCATTGGGGTTATAATTCTCAAGGCTTTAAAGAAGAACTGGAATTTTGCAGGGTTTATATGAATAATCTTCCTGTTTCTAGGGTCCCTCATGGGAGCTTGGTGTTGTAATGATTATGTCCTGATGAGAACATGTGAAAGAAGTGGCCAGAATGGTTCTCTATGAAATGAAACAGCACCATGTCTTATAGCATTGATATACTACAGCCTTTATAATGGAAAATCCTCAACTGGAGCTTTGAAACTGTTATTATCTTTACTAAAGGGATTTAATAAAGGGGACTATGCTGAAGCAAAAAATAAATCAAATTCGATAAACTGACAGTAAACTTTACTTTGAAACGTTGGCTGTGAAGATGGACTTGTCTGTGACTAATATCAAGTCATCTACTGTACTTTACTGTCTGTGTTACCTCACATGAGTTGTAGCAAAGCCATTATAAAAGTGTATTTGTACAAAGAATGAACAAGTGCCTCCATAAATCAGAAGACAATTTTTAAACTAAGCTTTCTCTGCTATATCTTCCAGGAAGAATAAGAATTCTTCTGAGTCTTTTACCAACTGTCATCATTGGCCTAGGTGAGGGAGTTTAACCTGAGCTCATGTTAACATCATGTTTCCATTAAAATAACCAATTAAATCTGGACAGAACCCAATTCATTTTCATCCAGTTGTTATCAGATATATTTCTTTTGAATGGTTGTTGACTGTTGACTGTCACATTTTCTCTTAAAGGGGCAAAACACATTTACGACTGCCCAAAGCAGCCCATGGTTCCTGTCTACCTGCTAGTAGGAGGAATTGCCTGTCTGATGATCCAGATCCTCCCCTATCTTTATTGCAGCCAATCAAATGGCCAACCCTTTCTGCTGTGCCACATTCTTAAAATGTTGCTTCTCATTTTTTGTC